ACAAAACTCAGACAAAAGAAATTTGAATCCAAAGCAGAAATGTAATTTGACAAAAAAAAACCTACTTTGTTAGGCGCTTTGTTTGTTTGTTTTGTTCTTTTCAGATAAAAGCAGGGAGTGGGAAGACATATTCAGACTTGCAATATTCTGTTACTGTACCTCTATAATAAAAGTATGATTAGCATTCATAAGTTTGGTTCCCAGTCTGGTCTACCTCAAAAAGTTGTAAAATACTTACTGAAATATGGCAACCAATTCCATAAAATACAGTAAAAATTCTAACCAAGCTATACCAGAAAATCTGGAGAACAACACAGTAGCCAACAGATTGGAAAAGGTCACTCTACATTCTGAAACCAAACAAGTAGAGTTAATAGACTGCACAAACTATCAGGTAATATATTTATTTTCACACGCTAGCAAAATAATACTTAGGATCATCCAATGCAGATTACAGCCCTATATAGAAAATGAGATGCCACATATTCAAGTGGGCTTTCGACAAAGCTAAGGAATATTATTTCTGCTGCGTGATGGATAATTGAGAAAGTGAAAGAATACCTAGAATAAATCGCTGTGTGCTTCATTGATTATAGAAAGTCCTTTGATTTGTATCAATCACATCAAACTGTAGAACGCTTTCAGAAAAGAATGGGAATATAGCATTGTGTAATCAGCTAGAATTATTTGCAGCCTTAGAAGCAGCATTTAAAACCACAGGATTTGTCACAGAGACCCAAGAAAACACAAGGCAGACAATCAAGCTACACACCAGAAGAATCAAAACCACTGCAAAACAGGAGATAAAAGCAGTTCTCAAAAAACTAAAGAAAGACCAAACTATTGTCATCCTTCCAGTAAACAAAGTCTGGTTATTATAGACAGAACATAATAATACAAAAAACCAAAGAATTACTGGAAACCTACATCCCAGTAAACCTCAATCAAACACAGAATCTGGGCAACTTGATTAAAAGAACTCTAAATAATCTGACCAAAAAAGATCAAATCACAAAAAAAAGAATGAAAGTGGATGAAAAACAGTGGATCTATCTTGTCACTCTTTAACTGATGCCCCAAAATGCACAAATCCAGCATACCTCTTCATCCATTACTAGGGACCCAATATACAACTTAGCCAAAGCATCAAAAAGTCTTAGCCATCTCACCAAGGGAAACAAATATTCTACCTTTTTTCCACTACAGTGTCTCCATAAAATCAAAGGCCTAAAAATAGAAAATGAAATTATGGTTTCATTCAATTTCACACCATTCTTTATGTCCATAGATCTAGAACTAGCAAAAGAATTCATGGCAGAAGTACTATAGAACTAAAATCAAAATACCCAGAATCATAGAATAGAATAGAATAGAATAGAATAGAATAGAATAGAATAGAATAGAATAATTTATTGGACAAGTGTGATTGGACACACAAGGAATTTGTCTTGGTGCATATGCTCTCAGTGTACATAAAAGAAAAGATACATTTGTCAAGAATCATAAGGTACAACACTTAATGATAGTCATAGGGTACAAATAAGCAATCAAATCATATTAGGAAACAATCAATATAAATTGTAAGGATACAAGCAACAAAGTTACAGTCATACAGTCATAAGTGAGAGGAGATGGGTGATAGAAACGATGAGAAGATTAATAGTAGAATCATGGACCTGTAAGCACTGTAACAAACACTATGTAGAACAGACTGACAGAAAACTATCAGAGCACATCCATGAACATTACCTAGCAATCAGAGGCCATGATGAAAACTCTTTAATTTCATGACATGTGCATAGACTCAACCACAGTTTCAACTCAAAAACTGAATATCCTGTCTGGTTGTAATGACATAAGGTGTGGTGGCTAGGGTGTGAAGGTAAATGTACTTTCATACAAAGATAATGCTTATTGCTGGCCAAAACCCAAATACTTTTCAGTGTTAGATTGTATGCCTAAAGGAATATGAATCTAATAATTAACATATCAAAAACAATATAATTGTGTTTGACAGGAGATATTGAGTGCAAATTGAAACTTATACACAAATGATTAAAAAAAAACTTAAAATAAGTGACTAATTTATTGGCTTTAGGAGAATGTTTATGGGTGGGCATGGTATCCTAGCGGTTAAGACACTGGGCTGTTGAGCAGAAGGTTGGCAGGTCAAGACCCAAGTATTGCATGACCTCCCATTTCTTGCCCTAGCTCCTGCCAATCTAACAATTTGAAAGCATGCAAATGCAAATAGATGAATAAGTACCATTTTGGTGGAAAGGTAACATAACATAGTCATGCTGGCCACATGACCATAGAAACACCTTCGGACAACACCGGCTCCCTTGGCTAGGAAATGGAAATGAGCACCATCTCCTAGAATCAGACACGACTGGGAAGGAGAAACCTTTACCTTTAGGAGAATATTTATTGAAGTTGGGAAAAATAGATGAAGAAATGTTAAAGCATGCAAATGCTGGAACAAACATAATGGGTAATATAAAGTCATTCATGAAGATGAATATTTGTTGAAAAAAGCCGTGCATCTGCCCATTTTGTTACATGGAAATTAGAGCTGGATATGTCAGGAAAAAAATGATATTAAGTTAACCAATTGGAATGATAGTACATAAGAAATCTGTGTTGCAAAAAATACAGTTAGAATGAGTATTATAGAAATGGATAGAACACAAGAGTGAGTGACCAAAGAAACAAAAAACAAAACCTGGAGCTATGTAACAAATGAAGTTGTCATAAACTTTCGCCTATGGTTATCACCTTCAAAGTTCTTCAAGGCATAGGGATACACTACAAACATATTTTTCATGATTTGCCTTTGCTGTGGTATGCTTACATTTGATTTACAGTAGTCCTTGACTTTTGATCACAATTGAGTTTGTCCAGAATTATAGTTGTAGATTGTGGTGGTTGTTAAGCAAGGCACCCACTTAACTCAAATCCCATCTCTCTTTTTTGTGATCATCAAGTGGAATAGAGTGCCTCAAGTGGTGGGGAAAGCCCCAGGAGGCTGACCTGCAGCACATCCACAGCTCCCACATAATCTTCTCAGACCATGACTGTGGCCACTCCAAACTGGCACATAAAGTGGTCTCTGTGTAGGAAGGTCACCTGGCAGTTTGGCTGCTTTTCTTTCTCAAAGTTGATTTCCAAGTATCACATTTCGAAAGACGCCATCTCAGAAGCAGGTGCCATTTTGGAGGCAGCTACAATTCTTGAATTGCAAGAATTGTGATTGCTTCTGGGATCACACCATCCAGTTTCTGTATAGGAAGGCTGTATGGCACATCAGCTGCTTCTCCTTGGAAAAGCAAACTTCAGAAGAGATCAGTGAAGTGAGACATGATGGGGCATGGGAGGTCGAAAGATGTGGGTCCCAGTGGGGCAGGAAGCAAGTTCAAGGCCTGAGGGGACCCAGCTGCATGGGAAGTACATCCAAGGAACTGAGTGGGCAAGGATGGAGAGGAAGTAGGAGGGTGGAGCAGCTGCAATGCCCCTGCAGTTTGTCATAAGGGCAGGCACATTGCCAAGTGCCCAAATTTTATTCATGTGACCCCAGGGTGTGCATCAGCCCTAACTTCAAGTACACGTCATAAGTCCCTTTGTAAGCGCCATTGTAATTTTAAATGATCACTGAACGAATGGCAGTAATTTAAAGATTATCTTATTGATTAAATATTATTTTGTTTGAGCACTTTTGTGGAATTGCCTTATTTGGCGTATGTCTTAATTGGACTCAGAGCAACATATATTAAAAACTTAGTAAAATTAGAGCACACAATACACATTATAATAAATAGCAGAGTCACAATTCATAAAGTGGACAATATACTGAACAGTTTACCTGCTTCAACCTTGGCTAGCTCAATGCCTCCAGTTTTCCTTCCTGGTCTGAGACTGCAGCACAAACCACAGTTACAATTTTTTTTCTCCAGGTGTGTGAATTCAGATTGTATAGAAGAGATTCCCCAATTGTTTAGCTCTGAAAAAGCTATCTTTTTGCAAGCCAGTGGAGTAGCTAGGTGATTTTACATTTACAGAAATAGTTTTATTTGGATCCCTGTTAAAAATTGCTGTAGTGTATAGCATTTATCTTCTACACTGTTCTTTGTTTTAAAATTGTGTCCCCATGCTTCACCTGTTGCAGTCTACAAACCAACCACGGTGTCCTAGCTCTGGTAAACAAATGCTTTCAGCAAGTGTTTATTTATTGTAATTCTTTCAATCAGAAAACTTCCTCTATTCTCAACAGCAGAGAGGGGGCTTCAATGCTCAACACATTTTCACAGGAAATGGACCATAAAATAATAAAAGTGACAATAACAACAAAACATCTCTAATAATGTCCTCCCCAAACCAGATGCTTCATCATTTCTGATTCTACAAGAGATATTAGAATTCTGACTTCAGGGCTGCCCTCTGGTTATTGATAAAGAAACAGGGTGGTACTGGGTGGAAGAAAAAGAAATCGGCAGGTGACAAGTTCGATTTTTCCAGGGATATAAATTCAAGAATAATAGGACAACTCCGTCTGTGAGTGTGTGGAGTCAAATTGTCCCTGATCCCGCTTAACAGTCCTGAAGAACTCACCAATACCTTGGAAAACGGCAAAGAATCCCTGGCCGTTTCCTGTTTACTATTCTTCCGTTTCTTTGTAAGAGGGTTGTCATTTTCAATCAAAGCAAATAGCGGAGCCAAGCAAACCCTTCGATCCCTCACCCCTGAAGTTCCGAGACGAAAGGGAAAACTTACATTTTACGACCTTGCGACGGACTTACTCTAGACTAAGCGGGTCAGAATCGCCTTTGCAAAAAAAAAAGAAAAGAAAAGGTACTTCCACCCAAGTGACTGTTACTGCTGATCGGTGCGTTTGTTTGCTTGCTTTTCCCCACCCATGAGAAAAACGAGACTTGGGCGACTGCTCTTCTGCCTCCTCCCGCCCAGCTCCGGGGGCCCTGCTAAGGGAACAGGATAGGGAGGGGGAGGAGGCAAAGAGCAAATGGAGCTAGTATGGGAGCGGGGGAGCTCAGAGTATTCGACGGAAAATATTTCCCGCCAGAGGAAGTTGCATTTGCCAGACACTGTTCTAGTTAATCGCACAAAGGAGGAGTTCGCTGCTTAATTGCCTGCGTTTCAAATGACGGAGAGATAAGGCAGAGAGAAGCGCGGGCTGCAGTTGTTAGAAAAGAAACGAGCGGTCTCTTGCCTACGTCACGGGACCGAGCCCATTGTGCTCGTCGCTGTAGAATCAACCACCTAAATCCATAGGCTTAATCCATAGTTTTTTGCCATGGATTAAGTAATAACAAAGCACCCATTATGCCTTTGCTCCATCCCGTTCCGTCTACCACCCCAAGTGTCTTTTTTTTGTTGGGGGCGGGGCGTTGGTCGGTGGTGAATCTTGGAACAAGAGGAGCCTGGATAGCTCAACAGACAGAGCTCTGTAATTTAAGACCAGCTGTCTGCAATTAAAAGTAAAATCTAATCCCGCCAGGCTCAAGATTGACTCAGCCTTCCATCCTTTCTAAGGTAGGTAAAATGAGGACCCAGATTGTGGGGGCAATAAACTGACTTTGTATAAAATATACAAAAGTATGAAGGCTATTGCTTAATGCAGTGGTCCCCAACCCCCGGTCCGCGGACGGGTGCCGGGCCGTGGAGTACCTGGCACCGGGCCGCGCAGCAGCCGGGGGACAGGAACGCTGCAGCGCAAAGGCTCCTGGGCCGTGCGCAATGGGCCTGCGCAAAGGCTCCTGGGCCGTGCGCAATGGGCCTGCGCAAAGGCTCCTGGGCCGTGCGCAATGGGCCTGCGCAAAGACTCCTGGGCCGTGCGCAATGGGCCTGCGCAAAGGCTCCTGGGCCGTGCACAATGGGCCTGCGCAAAGGCTCCTGGGCTGTGGCCCCACCCCTGCGCGCGCTCAGCGGGCCGCGGCGATAAAAAGGTTGGGGACCACTGGCTTAACGCATTGTAAGCCCCCTGAGTCTCCGGAGAAGGGCGGCATATAAATTAAAGCAAAAATAAAAAATAAAAATGAAGAATTGCCTGAAATTCAATCCGAGGCAGGCGCTTTCTGGCAGCACAGTCTCTTCCCGTTTTTTCCCTTTCATTACAAATCTATTTGTTTAGTTTATTCAATTTATTTTAATTTAAGGCATCAGGTATGCCAGGGGAATTTGGTGGGGTACTCAAAAAGTTATTGACTGTTGCTCTGATAGCTCAGCATTAGAAGAATCAAACATTCATTTAGTTGGCTAAATAAACCATGGGCAGAGCCCCAGTCTAATTCATCCCATGGTTGTTGTGACAGGAAATGGGAAAATGGAGTAAGACCCTTTCTACATTGTTTAATGTAGAAAGAGCAAAGTAATATAATGAAACAAAATGATCAGTGGTTGTTGAAAGTGTTGGGCTGTTCGTTTTTTAGGCTTGTTGATTAGCTATGAAATAGAAACATTACTGAAGTTGTAACAGTGTCTGAGAATTATAACAGAGGGTAGAATATTTAGAAGTAGATGGAAGGTTATGCATACAAATGCTTTGTATAATGAAAACTTTTTTTTCAGCCGTCAGAACAGACATTTATAGAGATGTCTTCTCTTTCACTTTTGCTGACACATCTGGATGATACAAATTGCACGGACCAAGGTAGATCATTTTATTCTTGAATATTAATAGCCCAAATTTAAATCTGAATGCAAAATAAATTGTCTATCTTTAAAATGAATTTAAGATTATAAACAGAGAAGCATGCTAATGAAATATAACCACCTATTCTACAGGAACATAATGTTCTGACTTAGGCTTCACAAAATCATGAAGCAGACTCCTTTGTTAAAGGAGTTAAAGTACAATTGTATTTATTTAAACTTATTTTTCCTTTCAGACTAATCAGAGGTTAGAAATAAATTCCCAGAGGAAAAAAAGACTCAAGAATACCAACAACAGTGCCAGATTTAGGCATAAGCAAACTACAATTTAGGGCCTTGCAATCCACAGACATTCATAACATTTTACTTTGTTTGCTTGCTTTTACAATTTTTTATGAATTTTTAGGTGTGCTGCAAAGTATAGGTTGTCCTCAACTTACCACAGTTCATTTAGTGATGGTTGTTACAGTGAGACTGAAAAAAGTGACCTGTGACTGTTTTTCACACTTATGACTGTTGCAACACCCTCATGATCATGATCAAAATTTAGAGACCTGGCTACTGACTCATATTTATGACAGTTGCAGCATCTCTGGGTCATATGATCACCTTTTGTGACCTTATTACAAGCAATGTTAACGGAGAAACCAGATTTATTTAACAAACATGTTACTAATTTAACAACTGGAATTATTCACTTAACAACAGTGGAAAGAAAGGTCTAAAATGGGGCAAAGCTCACTTAGTAAATGGCTCACATAGCAACAGAAACTTTGGGCCTCAGTTTTGATCGTAAGTCAAGGACTACCTGTATGAGATTATAATTTATGAGAGAGAAAAAAGAACCATCTACATCACAGGTGTCAAACTCGCAGCGTCATGTTGCCATTACGTGACGTTTCACGACATTTTCTCCCTTCGCAGAGCTGAAGTGGGTGTGGCCTGTGCATGACGAATCTGCCCCACACGCTGCCAGTTTGACAACCCTGATCTAAATGATAAATATATAATCAGTAAAACCATTCATTTGAAAATAATTTGTGTTTTTCACCTTAAATAATTTGCCATTAAATAACTAAAAGCCATATATATGTATTCAGTTTTTTTGTGTCCACCCAAGGTCCTATTTTGGTGTACATTTTTCTAAGGCCTTCTGATGTAACTTTTTAACAGTTTAGAACCTCACCAAATCTAAATCTGGCATTGCAGCAATTAGCTTTTCAAAATTCAGAATAAAATGAAGGTAACCTGACCTCCCCTTGAATTTTAAGATACAGCTGTTCACTAAACATCTGTTAACACTCTTTTTTCAAAATTAATTTGTCCCTACTATGTAGCAAAAGGAATCTCTTTTTGTTTTGACTCAGATAATTACCATTCTGAAAATCCAAAAACACAGGAGTAGAGGAAAAGACAATTCTGGAGAATTCAATTCACATCATAAACCTCTAACAAAGAAACTCATCTTTCCCACAGACAACCCAAATAAATCAAAATTAATGTGGTAAAACTGGTTACCAGAAGAACGCAAGTAAAACTGGCAACCGGGTTCATGGCAATATACTTTGGTGCAAAGGACATGAAAGATGTTAGGTGAAACCAACTTGGTGTTCCTTCCTATTTTTGCCTGCAGATCAGCATCTTTTGTCATAAATAGGAAGAATTGTCTCAAGGACTGCTTCTTATATAACAACCCCTCGGAAAAATAACCTATCTGGAATTGAAACATGAGAGAGGCTCTTCTGAAGATCCCATTGCTTTCAGAAGCCCATCTACGAGACACATCAGACACTATTATTTTTATTCACTCATGCAGTGAATAAAGAAAAGTGCTGAAATATTTTATTGAATCTTACAAGCATATTTTAAAGCCAATATATATTACAATGGAATTGTTATTATTCAGGTTTTTACTTGAACTATACTTAACCAAACTGATTTTTTTACACTTACATTATTTTTTAACAGATATAAAATACAATCCTCTCTGTCTCTCTCTCTCCTTTTTCCCCTTTCCATCTCCCACTCTTTCAATTGTTGATATCCATCAAGGCACCAAAGAAAAGGAAATTGTTCTTTCCATAGTTTCTGTATGTTCCATAGTTACCTGTATGATCTTTCATCTGGGAATATCATTAGCGTCCCTCTAGAAGTACCTTGAGCAGTTGCAAAAGAGTCTTTTTAATATATTATATATTCTAGAGCAGTGTTTCTCAGCCTTAGCAACTTTAAGGTGCATGGACTTCAACTCCCAGAATTCCTCAGTTGTATGCTGGCTGGGGAATTCTGGGAATTGAAATGCACATATCTTAAAAGTTGCCAAGGCTGTGAAACACCATTCTAGAGTAACACTTCTTGCCTCATAAGAATCCACAATCTGGTTGCTTGCATAATATGAGGGTCAAGATCCATTGGGAATTGGATTAAGAAATTGCTGGCATCTGTTGAAGCTTCTGTTGCTAATCCTTTCCATTTCCTGTGAATTTTTCCAATTGATGAGTTTTGATTGAAAGATTTCACCTAATTTTAAGCAAGTAATAAAAAATTATTCAAGGAAGTTACCATAAACCATAAGGCCTAGTCCCAAGACTGACCCAATATGCAGCTGTGTGTTTTATAATTTCATATACATACATACATAGATACATACATATATCATTTTGTACGATATAAGGATAACAATATCAATGCACCATAGTCCTAAATGCAATGTGATATATCACCCTTAGTAAGAAATTAGAATTTGAATTCTATTAATACATAAAACATAAGTTATGAAGATCTTAAGATATGTAAGCAACCACACTCAGAGATTTGCAAATCATATTATGGAGAATATGAATATGCAATAAAAAGTAGTATGAATTTTTATTAGATAATCGATACAATTATTTTATATGCAATGTTATACAAATTTTTCCTTATCAGAAAAGTTTGTGTGTGGCTTCACTCGTTGACTTAACTCACTCACTGACTTAAATATGTTATTTCCACTTAAGAGTATGTATTATTTTTTCCCCCTTCAGAATCAGTACTGGAATGTGACATGCTTTTGAAATAGTTATGACATCATCTAAAATAATTACTTTTAAGAGGTAGGACAGAAATGCAAAATACATATCAGCTTAATAAACAATAACATTATCATCATCATCATCATCCCCCAGGATATCTTCTAAATTATTATCGTAATTTATAGACTTCACATTGGGCATATAAAATTCCTTGGCTACAAAGAAGAAAAAGGAAACAACAGAGAAAACTGTATGCAGCAATCTTACTTCTGCTCTTATGAATTAGAAAAATCATAGGTCTATCAATACTTAATATATTTCAACACTGAAAAGTGGATAAAGACAGAGTTTAGAGTGTCACCTTACCTCAAAATGAAAATCCCTAAAGCCATGGCGTGATAAATCAGGTCCATGCAATTTCAAAATGTTTTCTCTGGCCTCATTCTGGATAACAAATTTGGGTCAGCAGATGTAACACTTCTGCTTAACATATCCAATGACTGTGCCTAATGGTGCTTGAACCTCAAGCTTTAAAGGAAAAATAACATGCAGCAGAATTAGAATAAAGAGCAGTATTTTATCTCACATTCAGACATGTTAACAGGCACTTTTACTATAGTTGGGTTTGAATGCACATGGAAAATCAAGGTAATAAATGATCAAAGGGAGTTAACTGTTAATGTGGAACAGAACATTTTTAATATGTTGTTTTTGGATTTTATGCCCCTGCTTTTTGTTTTCTTTTTGTATTAGTGTGAAGTCGTGAGCAGAAAGAGGTTGACTTGCTCAAAATAACTGAATGAATATCCATATGTACACTAGCCAGTGTGGGTTCCTCCCGGTTTGGCCCGGTTTTCCCGAGCCGGTAGCAGTGATGATATGATGTCACCGAACCGGTTCTGCCTCCCTGCCCCCCCGCGCCCCCACCCCCCGTGTCCCCCCACTCCCGCATTCTTACCTTTTATTTGGCCCCACCCCCAACTATTGCTGCCTCCTGAGTCCCAGCTGATGGCTAGAGGGAAAAAAACTGTTTAAACTCTTGCCGCGGGGCTTCAAAGGGCCGTACTACAGCTGATCAGTGTTAAAAGAAAACAAATGAGTAGATCGGTGCCTGCAAAAATACATGAGTAGATCAGTGCCTGCAAAAATAAATGGGTAGACCAGTGCCTGCAAAAAATAAATGGGTAGATCAGTACAGCTCTGCAAGCAGTTAAAAGACTGGTAGACCAGTACCTCTGCTAAATCCTAAATAATTGTCACATGACCATCAAGCCACACCCACAAAATAAGCCACACCCACAGAACCGGTAGTAAAAAAATTTAGAACCCACCCCTGACACTAGCATATCTGGGTTGCAAAAATCTGAACAATTCCTATATGACAACAAAGACTCTCTGTTTCCTCAACCTCTTTGCTTCCACCTAATGGTCATAAAGATTTTTGTAGCTTATATTTGATACCCCTAAAGTAGATATGAACTTGAGTCTCCCTAATCTATTCTAGTATTTAACAGCTATACCATCGTAGTTCTTATAGAGGAGTCTTAGAGGGATACACTGACTTGTGTAAAGTTATTGTGTAAAGTTATTAATTATTACTGTGACATCGTCTGTTTATGGTTCTATTACCACTCTGAAACCCCTATAGTTATGGAGAAGATCTAAAGGAAAGTCAAGATACATATATAGTACGTACGTATATGTAACAAGAATCTTTACAATTAAATACTATTGTAATAATAACCATAGGAGGGAATAGAACGCTAATTTATATTTCTGTAAAGTTGTATATCACTTCTTGATACTCTTGGAAAAGAATTAGTGAACAAAACAGTCCAAATGGGCAGAAGGGTTGAGTTTACCTTTTGTAGGCAGCAAATACAAGGACAGCAACACATACAATGGAACTCTCTTGACAATTGTATGACTGGTTGGTTTGCACTATCAAAGAGTTTTATGGTAAATGATCTGAAAGACCCATAAC